CCCTTCGGTTTTTTGTGCCTTTACCCTCGTTTCTCCCGGGGATAAACAGTTCCTTTTTTTCCATTGAGATCGCTGCTCGGGCGGGTGTGGAGGAGCTCCGTGCTTTTCCGTCCACAAAGCCTTCCCCGGGATTTAGGGATTGCAGAATAGTGTTGGAAGGGACTTCCGGAGATCCCCCAGTCCAACCCCACTGCCCAGGCAGGGTCGCCTGGAGCAGGTGACCCAGGAACTCATCCACGTGGGTTTGGGATGTCTCCAGAGGGGGAGACTCCACACCCTCCCTGGGCAGCTGTTCCAAGGCTCTGCCACCTCCATGGAAAGTTCTTTTTCATGTTAAGGTGGAACTTGATGTGTTTTAGTTTATGTTCTGTTGCTGGGCACCACCAAAACGAGTCTGGGACCATCCTCTGACACCCCTTGGAGATATTTACATGGATTAATGAGGTCCCCTTTCAGCCTTCTCCAGACTAACCAAGTCCATCTCTCCTCATCAGAGAGGTGCTCCAGACTCTCTTAAGGGATCATTGAGTCCCTCCAGATCCATCGTAAAGACTCTTTCCTGTAGCTCCTTGTGTTTTTTATTCTTGTTACAACCATCATTTAGTTTCCCTCTCTATTCCAAACTCGTACCTCCCCAATTTTGGCTCTGTTCAGTCTTTGTCTGGGCTCTGTGAGACAGTTCATGGAATAGTTTGGATTGGAAGGGACCTTAAAGACCATTTACTTCCACCCCCTGCCATGGGCAGGGACACCTTCCACTAGCCCAGGTTGCTCCAAGCCCCTTCCAACCTGGCCTTGGACACTTCCAGGGATCCAGGGGCAGCCACAGCTGCTTTGCCCAACCTGGGACAGGGCCTCAACACCCTCACAGTCAGGAATTCCTTCCCAATATCCCATCTANCCCTTCTCTGCCCAACCTGTGCCAGGCCTTCCCACCCTCACAGCCAGGAATTCCTTCCCAATATCCCATCTAGCCCTGCCCTCTGTCACTGAGAAGCCATTCCCCTTGTCCTGTCCTTCCATCCCTTGTCCCCAGTCCCTCTCCAGCTCTCCTGGAGCCCCTTTAGGCCCTTCAAGGGGCTCCCAGGTCTCCCTGGAGCCTTTTCTTCTCCAGGTGAACCCCTTTCCACCACCTAAATTTGTTCAGTTCCTTGCTGTCTCAGTAAGAATTCCACGTTCTGTCTTCTCCAACTCTAGCATCAGAATCAGAACCTCGCTGAGCACAACACCACCAAACCCCTTCCCCCCCTTATTTTTGGGCCAGAGTGGAAGCAGTTGGGTGAATTCCCAACACAGTGGGAAGGGGAAAGCAGAGGAACTCTTAAGGACTCTGTAGGGTTTGCTCTTGGTCCTGGATGAGCTGTGGGCTGTGTGAGGAGTTTGCTCCGGGTCGTTGGGATGGGAGTGACGGCTCTGCCACGGGTTCTCTCCTCAGCCCACTCCGGTTATCCTGCTGAAGGAGGGCACGGACACCTCCCAGGGGATCCCCCAGCTGGTCAGCAACATCAATGCCTGCCAGGTGATCGCCGAGGCCGTGCGCACCACGCTGGGGCCGCGGGGCATGGACAAGCTCATCGTGGATGACCGGGGTAAGGATGTGGGAAAGGGACCTGGGAATCACCTCCCAGAGCAGCCTCTTTACTCATATCCTCTTATCAATTAATCCCAGCATTTGCATATATGAAAGTTTCAGCTTCTTGACCTTGTACTAAACTTGACTCTCCCAGCAGAGGTTCAGTTTCTGTCTCGGTGTCACTTTAACACTGTGACATGTGCTGTGGAATGAAGGATAATTGTCAGACCAACCTGAGGAATTCCCTGTTTGCTGTGTGCAAAGCTGGGGCTCTGGAGAAGGGAAGGCTCCAGGGAGACCTTCCAGCACAATTCCAGACCTTCCATCGCAATTCCAGATGTTCAGAATTGTCTTCATGTTGCTCAAAGCTCAGCTTCTGATGCTCCAAGGAGCTGGAGCCCCTCTGCTCTGGAGCCAGGCTGGGAGAGCTGGGGGGGTTCCCCTGGAGAAGAGAAGGCTCCAGGGAGAGCTGAGAGCCCCTGGCAGGGCCTAAAGGGGCTCCAGGAGAGCTGGAGAGGGACTGGGGACAAGGCATGGAGGGACAGGACAAGGGGGAATGGATTAAGCTGAAGAAGGGGAGATTTGAGTGGGATGTTGGGAAGGAATTCTTGGCTGTTAGAGTGAGGAGGCCCTGGGGTGAGATTGGGTAAATCCAGAGTTAGTGGGACTGGATATGAGAAAATCCATGTCAGAAAGGAAAAACAGGGTGTCTTGAACCTGGCCTTCAGGTGTTTGTGGCCATCTCTATTTATTTATGTTTTAAGTGAGGCTCATTGAGAGCTCAGTGGGTGTTACTGGGTTGATTTTTAATCTCTTTTTGGAGTGTGATTTAGGGGTGAGACTCATACTCGCTCTGAAAAGACTTGTATGACGTCACCAAACTAATTATTGTGTGTTATTTTTGTTTACTCAGGGGTGGGGTGGAAAGTCTTACTATTGTCTTTAAAGAGTTATTACAAATAGGAACTGTAATAATGAAATTAAAAAGGGTAATTGGATTTAAATTTATCTAATAACTGGTATGATTTCTAGACTTTTTTTCACATGAGTGTCAGGCCAGAATATGTTTTTATCTGTCTGGGGAGGCTGCTGAGAAATCAGAGAGAAATCTAAGCCCCTCTTAATTGGTGTGGGGAGTTGTTTCACACTCTGAACCTGAATCTGCTCCAAAAATGGGCTGAGGAGACATTATGGAGATGGAACAGAGGAACCTGCTGAGACCCCCTGAGGCACAGGGCCCAGGGTTTTATCCTGGTGGTGAAGCTTGACTTCCTTTTCTCCATCAATCCCAGGCAAAGCCACGATCTCCAACGATGGTGCCACCATCCTGAAGCTCCTCGACGTCGTCCATCCGGCCGCCAAGACCTTGGTGGACATTGCCAAATCCCAGGATGCAGAGGTGGGAGGGGAGCCTGGCTGTGCTCGGGAGCCTGTGGGCTTTGGGAATTGCTCATGGAGTGCTGGGATTTATCCTGGTTTCTCTCTTGATCCCCTCTCTTTTGGGATAACTTTCGAATGTTTTGAGCTCTTTGGCCCGGATCTGATGGGTGGTTTGGGAACTTCAAAGATGAAGTTCGTGTTTTATGAGGAGAGGAGACTGGGAAATGGGAGTTCACCCCACATGGGATGTAGTCTAAACCCAGCTCTTTTTAGTCTAAGACCAAGTGCTGGTGCTGCATCTGGGCTGGGGCAATCCCTGGTGTCAATCC